ACCGGTGACCTACGTTAGCGGAGGATTTGCCTTCAGTAGTTTTCTGTCGGCAGTCAAAGGCTTAAATTCTATTCTCGTGTTTATTTTAAAACTTTCGTGTGTCATACTAAATTAATTATTATGTTTTCGGCTTACTCACGTAATTATTTGACGAGGAACTCGACTAGTTTCAAGCCATGCTAGAGGCTCATACCGAGAGCAGCATTCCGCGACTCACAATGCTACTACCAGTGGCGTGCACACCATACATGCAAATAAGCACTGCATACCCTACAAAATCATGGTAAACCTACATAGTCAATTACATAGTGTCACTCATATACACGACATGAATATTTACTGACATCATACAGAGATTTCGTAATTTTATTGATACTTAATTCGGAAAACTTGTAACTAACGCCATCTATTGAAAAAATATTGAAGTACTACAACCACTTTCTACTTTCTTCGATATTGGAGCATTGCGCCAGTGGCGCCGCCACCTTGCTATTGTGTGATGGTGGCGGAAGCATGTACTAATGCTAGCCGGTACAATTTGCTTGTTTTCTCGTGCTGATGTTGGATTTTTTTTTTGTTAGGTTGGTAATTTCTATACAACTGCAAAAGCACTGCTTCTTCGTTATCCGACTAATTTAAGAAGTCAACAAAACGTAGCGTTTGTTGATTGAAAATAGATATATTAATTTTGGTCAACTTATTGTTTACGTTTTTTTGGCCATTTTGTTTTCAATTGTTTTGGTTATGTTTTTATGTGCAAGTGAATAAATTGTAATGTAATGAATTATAATTTAAATGAACTGTTAATTTACCGAAAATTATGTAAAATTATAGCTGTGAGCTCTGTGCTGGTGATTTGTGTTGTTCAATAAATTCAATATGAGTGCGTTGTCGTTATTCTCGTTTGAAGAAGAAACGAAAATATTTCCAAAGGCGATTTTGCGTGTGTCGTATGTCCGGCTAAGCGTGACTCAAAAAAGGTAATAATTTCATTATTTCTTTTAATAAACTACGATTTGCGATTATAGGTATAGTTTGTTAGCACTGGTTGTGTACCAATTTAATTATTGTTTTTAATTTAAAATCCAGTCTATCTTGATCTCGCTTTGTACGATTTCTCTATGCATTTAACGGTCAGTTATACTGGTGTCGCCGCTCCAAAGTAGGTACCTAGTTAATAGATTTATAAAATAGATACCTACCGATAGATCTATGTTGATCAACTTTATACACGGATAGTTTTAAAATAATTATGTACCTAATTTGTTTATACAAATTAATAAAATACTTACTAAACCTAATTACCTACTCAAAACTATGATGATGATGTTTCGGGAGTTTTATTTTCCGAGATCAATGTACCTAGACCAAATTTATTTTTAATCATGTGATACCTTCTGCCTACCCTACTTCAAGTCTCTGTGCACGCCCCTGGCTACTACTACTACTATTAGTCGAGTTCCTCGTCAAACAATTGCGTTAAGTTCGAAACCATAATAATTAAATTCTATTCTCTTTGTAATAAGCGCTTCAATGCCATTTGGTTCATAGCACTGAGCTATAAAATGCAAAACGCAGCAAAATTCATTAACTTAACTGCCTCAAAAATCTTGAATTATTATAATCAGATCTTTGGTAAAGACTCTGGTAACAAAATATTTAATTATTGTGTTAATAGTGTTGTAATAAATCGATAATTGAAATCAATTTAATATTTGTTACGATTTAAAATTTGTGTTGTGTTTTGTTTTCAGTGTTGATATAAACAAAAATGTAATATATTGCAGTGCAAGTTATCATGTGGTAAGAATAATAAATAGCCAAAATATTAAAAAAATGAAGTTTAATTTTATTTAAAAAATAAATTTTATTTTATTGAAAATAAAAATTTTGGATGATAGTATATTATTATATTCCTTCTTTAACTCTCTCTTAGCTTTACACTAGCTGCCGACTTATTTCGGAATTACAATACAAAATATCAAAACTCATCAGAGTTGTTAATACCACAAAAACAATATTTTAGTAATCTTTCAAGGCAATGAGTATTTACCTTACTCTCATCCTTAAGCCTCGCCATTGGAAGTATGTTTCCACCTTTAAAACCATAGACAGCGTCCATTTTAACATATTCTATATTCAAACATTTCCGTTTTCTATCTCACACTGGGCCTTAAGACTTAACCTCACTTTTTACTCGAGTACTAGTTAAAACCAGTACAAACCAGTATTAGGTATAAAACAAAAAAAAAAGGGTAGGTTTAATTAGATAAAGTACATTTGCTTACTATGTCTAGAAGTAACAAAGAGTTATACATATCATAAATATAAAAAATATAGAAGAAATCCCATTGTTTATGCATTCTGTGTAAAGTGAGATAGAAAGTAATACCTATGTACTATGTTTATAGTAATACTTAAGTTATGAAGTCGTGTAATAAGGCCCAAACCAATTCATTCTAAAACTACCTTCCATAGATTCAATAACGCTATAACATTTTACAACTATATCATAAGACGCAACATTAAAACTATTATTCTGCTATCAATTATCCTAATTTCGTCTAATAAAGTAACGCAAAGAGGTTTTGAAGTCCAAACATTACATACAACCAGACTAGACAACGAAGGCACTAACTCGCAACGAATTAAAAATATATTAATTTTATCTTTTGAATACCAAATATCATAAAAAAAAAGCAAAAAAGGTTGAATACACACACCCTTAAAAGTAAGACATATTTTTCAAACACCCCGTAGTTCCAATATGGCGGATTAAATTAAGTGTGCACCATATTTGACACTGACATAAACACAAAGTACTTTGTTCTATTAATCTTGATACTTGCTAAACAATTTGGCATTCATAAGATTTTCTATTTAAAATTATTATTATTAATAACAAAATTAAGTATAAGCAACATGCATCAACCATGCTTTCTCACGTTTCGCTCGAAAAGACACAACGAAGATCGTTTGGAGAGACTTTAAAAGTATTCATCTACCATCTATAAATAAAGAATAAAGTAAAACTAAAGTAAAAAAAGAGTCAGCTAAATAAATACTAGTATTTGGTTCGTATGAATACTATGGATGTAAATATACATATAACTTAGATAAAATATTATGCAGCACAGATTAATAAGTCACCAAGACAAACATCACCGTGAATCACAACATCTAATTTCGTCACTAAAAACATTAAGTATGAAAACAAGATCACAAACAAACGAAGAATAGGACTAAAATATTAGTGACATGAGATTTATAATAAATTTCATATTTTTTAAACCAAATCGTGTGAAGAAAAACAATATAAATACACGATAAGGCGATTCACTAAAAAAGTCTACAATGGTGCAAGTCAAGCGAGTTAAAAACGAAAATTTAAAGCTCTAAGCATAACTTACTTAAAGGACCAAAACCTCTTAGGCGCCGTATAATCTAATATTTCGCATAGAAAAATATCTATAGACGTATTTATTATATCTATGACATAAACTTTAGTAAAACGAACATGTTCTTTGAGAGCTCGATCGGTGACGCCATCGCGGTTGGAATCTGAAAGCGAAATGTTTATATGGGTAATAAATAGCAAAAAAAAATTGACATAAAAGAAAATATAGATATTACATAGACATGAAAAACTTTACTTTTCTTATTAAAAAAAAATTAACATAATATCACGCCTCTTATCCCTGAAGGGATAGGCAAAGGTGCACATTACGGCACTTAATGTCACTGTACAATATAACAAAAATTTTATTATATTAAAATTTAAATTACTCTATATTATTAAGATTACTCAAACATACTATTGGCCACTAAGACATTTTAATACTGAAAAAAGTATTAAAAAAATAAAAAACATGCATAAAATATCAAAATTATTGATAAAATCATTATAAATAAAAATATCAGAGGATGAAAAAACGTTTTTAAATAACAAAAAGAATCTCTCCGGCGGGGAATCGAACCCCGGTCTCCCGCGTGACAGGCGGGGATACTTACCACTATACTACCGAAGATGTAATCGCTAGTACCGAAATATGCGACTACATATTTTCTGATGAAATATATCCAATTTTTTTTAAATCTTAATTTATTGTTTTCGATAATTATTTCATAATGGTAATGACATAGAAAGTTATTTTTTATTTCAGTTTTCCAAATTAAATTGTTGTTTTTTTTTTATTGCTAGGTTAATCACTATCTCGCCTGGTGGTAAGCGATGATGTAGTCAACTGTTACAATGGAGCACTGTTTAATTCAATTAAATACTTCCAAAGTGAATTAAAAAAAAATAAAAAAAATAGTTAACCAATGTATAAGAAAAGCAACAGCATTTTTAAGTAGCAAGGCGAGTAAGTAGCTGTTTAACGAAAAATAGAATAAAAAACGAGAAAAATTACAAATATTTCAATAAATACTAAAAAAATATTAAAAAGAACTATCAAATGATTAAAATACTGCTATAAAAAACTACAAAAAGAATCTCTCCGGCGGGGAATCGAACCCCGGTCTCCCGCGTGACAGGCGGGGATACTTACCACTATACTACCGAAGATGTGAAAGAAGTGACGAAATTAGGGTTCTAGTTTTAACATACATTAAAATAGCATACATATTGCATAGATAAAATTGTTTCTACATAATTATTATACTTATATGTATATTATTAGTTCAATAACAATTAATTATCATTGCTTTTCTTAACATTTTCACAATGCGTTAAAACGTTATATTTCTGCACTAAAAGGAGATGTATATTTTAGTACTTGTAACATTGAACTTAATCTTATTAGAGATAGGGTGTTTTTCACAGTATTTTGAGTGACAAATCAAAGGGCTAAAACCCAACGCAACTTGCGACGTTATTTTCCTTGCAAAATGAACTTAGTCTTTAAAGAAATAAGGTTTATTTTACATTGTTTGAGGTGCTAAGGGTATGAAGTTGGTATGAAGTGGGTATAGTAATAGTATGAGTTTGCACTGTTACCTCACGTGTCGACGGACTGGTTGGCGAGTGATCCGTCCCACGCCGCCTCTTTGTGTAGAGCCGCTTGGCGTTTCTTTTCTGAAAGGATTTAGACAAATAACATTAGACTGTATTCCCATACGTACATGTAACAATTTAAAACAACACCTTTCCATTAATAATGTTAATAAGACTGCCTCATTGGCCGAGTGGTCGCAAGTGCAACTGCCGGGCAAGGGCTCGTGGGTCAGGCAAAGTATAAAAAGTGGGTGTTACATTGTACAATGGCATTAAGTGCCGTAATGTGCACCTCTGCCTACCCCTTCGGGGATAAAAGGCGTGATGTTATGTATGATGTTATATCTTTCCATTAATCATCCAAATATTATTTTTTTCAGAACACCACCAACACCATAACTGATGATTTATAAGTAATTTCAATATATTTGTGTGAATGCAGGAAAACCCTTACAGAAATTTCTAACTACAAGTACTTCTAGATGTAAAAGCACAGATTTCCAGTATGCAATACAGCTGGAGCTAAGCTCTGCGGACATGAAAATATGACCAGCCAAATTGATACACAGCAGCCGTGGCTTCGCTCGCGTCACAAAAGGATAAAAAGTAGCATATGTGACATATATCAATACACACAGCGCCATCTATACCAATACTTTTGTTTTCCCTCGGGAATATCAAATTTTTTTCGGGATAAAAGTACGCTATTATTTAATCCAGACTTCTAACTTTACGTCTGCAAAAATTCAAAGCAATCGGTTTAGTAGTTACGGCGTCAAAGCGGAACAAACAAACTCACTTTCCGATTTATAATATTAGTAAGGATGAAGTTAAGAATATTAATAGATGTTACCTCTGGCAAGAGTGATAAGTCTCCTCTCTTCAGCTCGCTCCTGTCGCGCCGTGCTCAGCTTGACGCCCAGAGCACCAGAGACCAGCCGCCTTGCCAATGCTGTGCACGTTTCTGGCCGTTGTCTGTAAACATGTACAAAACAGTTGTTAATAGTTGATTATGACTTGAATCCTTTACGCTTTAGGCATCCTCTTCATCATCAAAAGCCAGTTAAACTGCACTGCTGGCCAGTGGCGTAGCTTATTTTGGCGGGGCCCAGTATAAAAATTTGTTTGGGGGCCCTTATGAAAGGTAAAATACGTATACCTTCTCTGCCCAAATTATCTGACAATGATTAGGTACTTTAGTTTTTCCAAAGTTTCTGCCATGGAATAGATTTGTCTATTCCATGGTTGCTGCCAGTGCCAACCTTTGAACGCATGCATTTTGTGGTTACTGAAATAAAATATAAATTGAGAAGTTTTTATATTTTTGCTTACACACGTTGGGGCCCCCGTGGTCTGAGGGCCCCATATAATTGATACGGCAGATACGGCGATAGCTACGCCCCTGCTGCTGGCGGCTGGACATAAACAGGTCCCACATAAAAGAGAAGAAAGAAAAGTTGGCGACCTCGCAGGCCTTGATGGTTTAATTGATATTCTATTAACCTCTACCTGGAATTCCATTGGGACTAAAAAGATTATACTCGGAATTTTAATTCGATTCCAGATTTGACAATTTCAGTGTGGCAACGTTATGACAAGTACTAAATAGTGACGTTGCGAAATTATTCGATATGGAAATGCAATATTTCTGGATCGATTCTTCTCGTTTATAACAATTATAATTTTACTCTCGTGAACTAAGTATATCAGGAAATTAAATATTTCTGAACCGATAATTTTGTTTTGACGATTAATTAACGATCTGAGACGGTTCTTTTATAATTGTGTGTGATATAAATAAAAAAATGTAATCATGAAGGAACATGACAAATAAAACAGATTGATGTATTATGGTAATACGTTATTTTATAAATTGTCGCCGTCATCGCTATCGCTATCCTGCCACTTTCTGTAACATTTATTATAAAACACACACACTGATTGTTTATCGATTTTTGTGTGCATCACTACACTATTATATGTGGTATCATTATTTCACAAAATGACAGTAGCTATTGTCAAATCTGGAATCTAATTAAAATTCTGACTATAGATCTTTACTCACCTATAAGGCTGCAAGAATTCAGCACATTTCTTCGCTTTGTTCCTAGACTCGAGAGTGGCGGCGTGAAGCGGTCGACACTTTACTAGTGGACGCTGCGTCGATAGTACCTCTCCAGCTGAAAATGTAAATAATAAACATTTAATTATAGAAGAAATGCGAAAGAAAACTATCTTTAAATTTATTTATTGACCCCCCTAAACAAATTTAGGTATGGAAACTATGCAAGTCTTCTAGGTAATAATAGGTCCAATTTGTAATTAATTTAACATCCCGCTTGTCAGCCAATATCATTATGAATGTTTAAACGTTTAATATATTATGGATGTTAGCATATTTAATGTAGAAAAACTGTAATGACTTATTTAATTTTTTTCTCCTATTACTTTTAGCTATAAGTTAGCTGTGTAGTTACAAAAATACACGAAGATAAGAAATACATTTACTAGTTAAAGTAGTTTCACTACATCTAAGGATCGACCTTTTTCAGGAAGAAGTTTCTAATAAAGAATAACATAATGAAAACAATATAGATAAACATCTATTCTTATTTCATATTAATAATCTCATATTAATAAATAAAGTACATATATCTGAAATAATATTTTTAATCTGTTCACATTTTTTTAGTCTGTATCCGTTGGCCGCATTCCAAGCATAACCACGCAAAGGTAATAAATGTTTATGCGTACTAAAAATGTGCTACAGGCAACTCCTCAATGTTTAGGTTGAATTACGTGTGAAGGAGTTTATTTGTTTAAATATAATACGTATGGAGAGAAGAGTTTCATGGTCGATAGTTACGTAGGAACTAAATTAAATGTAAACGCTATCTACTCTTTTGTTAATTTATTGAAAACTTCACTAGATAATGGCTAACTTATAGAAGGTTAGTTTTTAATTGTTCAGTAATATAAGTATCAGTCGGAAATGGAAGTAGAAAGAAATAGACGTTTTGCCCCCGATTAATAAACGTAAGTTTTCTTTCTTTCGGCTTTTCCCAGATCATTTGATTCTTAACCATATTCAACTGAATGTTACTATTTTATTTAGGTAAAGCGATTGCAATCACCACTTTCTGCTAAGAGTGACCATATTCTAGTACGGCCCAAATTAAGTAATTATTAGAAGTACAAAAATTAACAGAAATAATTAATCCGAAAAGAGTATTTAAACAAGCTACAGACAACATAACATTGTATTATTAATTAAATAATGATTGTAATAAAAATTGCCCGCCATTACAAACTCGATTTGACGTACAACAACCTAGATTTTGGCGCGCAACCTCGCAAGGAGGTTCGATGACCCGCGTGACGCAACGCTGCGCCGAGCAAGTAGCACGACGCCCGCGCTACATAGCGTTGTAAGAAGCGACTCTTTGTGGTTACAAAAGAAATTAGATTTAGGAATCCCATTTGTGGCAATTTGTGGGTGATTTATGATCAAGTTTTAGGTTTTATTTAAAGGTCGGGGAATTCAAGAAGTCGTGGAACACATTTGCTTGACAAAATCTATCTGAATCGGATCGAAGTCTAACGAAATCTCATCAAGAAAAGGTTCAAGGCCTTTAAACTCTTCAAAATTCAATAGGTCGGGAACTGGAGACACAGAAAGTCCCTTTCCATTTAATCACAGAAAGGCCTAATATGTTCAATAAACTTTAACTAGTATTCATACAATTGTAATAACTATTTTTTTTGGTAAAGGGTAAACGAGGATACGGAGCACCTGATGACAAGGAATCGGCACGGCCTACGGACACACTCGCAACACTAGACATGTTATACAAGTGCATTGTCGGCCTTTGGATGGTGGGGAATTGGGCCTCTGGTAAACACAGACTTACAAGATACAGGAAACGTATGAAAGTAGTTCACATTGAGTGCAGAAATTCCGGTTAGCCCTACGGAAGGTAAAATCGAATGCATTACATATGAGTATGAAAGTTGTCCTACCAATACATATTTAGATACGTAACAAATTATGCGTGCTTATATGAGCAAGTACATGAATCTGATGGAAGCTAGAGAAGTATGTAAGGATATGATCTGGACATGTAGAACGGATGGATGAAAGTAGAGTAACGAAAGAAGTATACAGAGCGGATATGAATGGGGCCGTCGCGCCCTAGACGGTCATATAGTGACCAGACGGGCGATATATTAAAGAAGGGCCAAATTAAAAGTACCCTTAACCGACGAGCATGCATGAAAAGATTGATGATTGTTGATGAAGCGAAAGAGGTATGTAGGAATCGTAGTAATTGGCGTTCCCTAGTCACTGCCTACCCCCATGGGAGACAGGCGTGAAGATATGAGATATGTATATTCTAGTCTAGACGGTGCTCTGTGATTTCTGTCTACCTACTCCATGGTGCTTCTGTATCTTAGGTTTATTCATTTGTATGTTCATCATACCCATCATACAAACTTCCACTGCTAAACATGCATATGCATATGGGGAGGTAAAAGCCTCACACGATATCATTAACGTCCGCTGACAAAGTAAGTATATAATTACTAAGGAAGACTAGTAAACTCATTAATCAAATAAATTGGAAATTAAACGAATGAATAATGCAGTAACAGCTGTGCGAGGTTGACGACTTTTAAGACTGGCTTCAGAGTCTCTGAGTGACGCTGTTTTGGTATCATTTTATCAATTACGTCCAACGATCCTTCATCACTTTGCTTTTGATCTTTTGTCTATTCACGCTTATTTCATAATTAAAAAACTGTTTAAGACTGTAACGTGTATGGATCATTTAATATTGGTAAATTCTCAATGGTAGCACGGAGTCTGGAAATGTGTCCGGTATTTGGCAATAGGCTCATAACATAAATAGTGAAAAATGGGTGTTACACTGTACAGTGGCATTAAGCGCCGTAATGTGCACTTCTGCTTATCCATTCAGGGATAAAAGGCGTGGTTTTACATGTGTCAAATTTTTACTCTAAACTAATTTTGTTACTCAGTAGCGGTTTACATTTGAAGTATTGAATGGCAACCCTCGATAATTATCACAATAAATTAAACAGTATAATAGGCTCATTAAAGCATTCAACGACGCGTATAATATAAACTACATACATGCATGCTTATAATTTTGCAAATTAAAAACGTACAACCTACTTCGCGCCAAAAACGTATGGAGGAAGTTCGTTCAACCATGAAGTCTGAATTGCGTAAGTAAACATCTATGGTCACTCGCCAAAGACAACTTCCAAGGAGTTTTTATAACGAAGAAAAAAAAGATTAATGACATAAGTGCGGATCAAAGCAACTGGAAACTAGACTAGATCTTTTCAGGAGATAAATTAAACAATTGATGTTGAACAATGATGTTACGAAAAAATGTTGCTCTAAATAACACAATAGAACTGGTTGAATGACTGTTCTTCCTAAAAGTGATCAAATGTTTTGTATCTAAAATCCTTACTAAAGGAAGTTGATCAGGGCATAAAGGCATTAAAAAATTAACCAGCAACCAGGTAACTGATTAAAATAGTTGCTATAGAAAAATTCTCTTTTTAAATGATGCCGAAATAATAGCGACATCAACAATCTTCCTTAACTATCATCTTTCCTCTATATAGGATATCCAAAAATAGGGTAGTTGCTTAATTTTTATTTTAATGTCCGTCTGGTAGATTATTTTAAATCATTAGACACGTATTTTTTATTTTCTTACAGAAACGAATACTTTCGACGATATATTGATTTGAAATGTCGCGTGACGTCACTTCTATGTACATTATTTTAGCATTATACGTAGAAATGACGTTTTAGTCCCCACTCCTAAACTTTGATTAGTTTTATCTAAGTATTGTTTTATTATGCGACAAAATAAAAAAATACGTGTCAAATATTTTTTCATTACCTAACTTATGGACTAATTAGATTTTTACTTTTGTCATCATCTCAATAAATGAACACGAAAGCCATTCATAAGTAATCATATAAACATGTTCCCTGATCCTAATAGCAATAACCAATATTAAAAAGGTCTATTAGTTGAGAAAACCACATCGCCGCATGACTTTAATAAATATTGAGCCCTTCACATCAATTGGTGGTATGAATATTAAAAACCTGTGCGGTCAAAGCTACTCATGTTAGTAATTTTGTATTGATTGAACCGATATTTGAACAAACGGTAAACGGTAAGGCAGAATGGTGGAGAATATACAATTGACATAATGACAAATATATTGAAAGACTAACCGTTTCCTGCGACTTCTTCCACGTAGAATATAAATTTTAGAACATAACTATTTTGTTTCAATTTTTCAAAATTAAAGTGGCCTATGTTACTCGTTAAGAACAAACAGACAGACAAAAATTGTAAAAAATGTTATTTTGGTATGTGTATCCTATGTATATTCATATGCATGTAGTAAAAAGTGGTTATTTTAATATTACAAACATACACTCCAATTTATTTTATCTGCATAGATATTGTCGAATAGAAGGTTTATTAATACATAGTACAATAATACTTCATTTCGGTTCCGCTAATATTCCTTTTGTAATAGAAGGCAAACTTACTGCTATACTTTGGAAACTTATCATACATTTTATTGACGAAAATAAAAGCAATTTCAAAATTTTTGGCTAATTTTGATACTGAGAAGTCAATAGAACAGTCATGCCTGAATAGGGAAAGGCCCTGGATAGAAATAAACCTTCATTTTATGTACCACTACGGTAAAAATATGAATTGTGCCCGGTATATGGCAATAGGCTCACTCTCTATTACATGGGACTTATAAAAAATGAAATGTGGGTGTTACATTGTACAGTGACATAAAGTGCACTTTTGCCTACCTCTACGGGGATAAAAAGCGTAATGTTATGTTATGTACAAATATGAGATGCAAAAACCTTAACACGAGGATTGATTTCCGTTGAAATACTTAATTTCTCATGGGACAGCAGATGTGAAACAACCAGATGTTCCTGCATAATGAATGAACAAAAACCTGTTGATTTAACGACACCCACAAATGGACAGATCCCAGTAGAACAGGTTTTTAATAATATACATAAGGGTAGCAGCAGGTGGTATTTTAAGAATAGCATGAACTCGCATTATGGACAACCAAGTTGAAATAG